AATCGTAAGGATACAAGCAACAAAGTCACAGTCCTGCAGTCATAAGTGGGAGGAGATGGGGGATAGGAATGATGAGAAGACTAATAGTAATACTCATGCAGCCTTAGTGAATGGTTTGACAGTGGTGAGGGAATTATTCGTTTAGCAGAGTGATGGCGTTTGGGAAAAACTTATTGCAGAGGTGTTGTATTATTCAGTATGGTAGTCCTCGACTTACAACAATTCATTTAATGACCGGTTATAACTGTATTGAAAAAAGTGACTTATGAGTGATGTTCACACTTAGAACTGTTGCAGCCAGCCCCATGGTCACATGATCAAAAGTCAGACTTTTGGCAACTATTTATGACAGTTGAAGTGTTCTGCGATCCTTTGATCACCTTTTGTGTCGTAACAAAGTCAAAGAAGAAATCAGGTTCATTTAACAACCGTGTTACTAACATAATAACTGCAGTGGTTCACTTATAACAACTGTGGCAAGAAAAGTTGTAAAATGGGCAAAATTCCCTTAACGGTATCTCTTAGCCACAGAAACTTAGTGCTCCATTGTGGTTATAAGTCAAGGGCTACCTGCATTTAGTCTAAATAGTGGTTTACAATGTCTTACAATATGGTTCATCATTAATATCATAAAGGTGGCTTGGGTCCCCTATCAAGAAAATATGAATATAACTTACTATCTGGGATAGAGCAAAAGGGAATAAGTAACTTTAAAAGTAATTTTAAAGTCCGTCTGTGTCTCTGTTGTCTGTCTGTCTCTCTATCATCTATCTCAACTACAGTGGATACAAAATGTCTCCTGTTAAAATCCCAGGTTTTTGGAAAAAAGATCAGACTGAGATAAATCACTTCAGTCTTTTTTCCCACCTTTAATATAACCTATAAATTATGGAATTCAAAATAAAAAACAAACTGATAGCTTTTAGGAAGAAAAAAATAAAAAAATAAAACTAAAACTCTCATGTCTAACCTTTCTCTTGTTATCTTTTTCTTTCGCTATTTTTCTTATTTTCCCCATTATTTATTTATTTACTTACTTACTTACTTACTTACATACATACATACATACATACATACATCAATGTAACACAATTATTACAAAGGATAAGATTAATTTTATTAATTATTAATATTAATAAAGCTATTGGGGAAAATGGGCTAATTTACAGAATGTGTTCAAAATCTGGACCGGTAAGTTTGAAATTTGCAAAAAATACTTCAACGCAGCCATGCCACCCTACTGCTTCTCAGAGGTTCACTTGATCTGTTCCATTCTAGTCCTAGGGAGGGAGGGAGGAAAGTTTCTGACAGTAATTCCCACAAACAAGCCAAGAAAAAGTGGGAACTTTCTTCTCCCATTGACTTTTTTTCCCCCCCACCTTGGGTCATTCTGTTTATTTTTTTTTAGGTAAGCAGATACCTCTAAAACAATGACCCAATGGGTCATCTATTTTCCAATAGAAAAATAGATAAACAGATAAAGATGCGTAAATAGATAGGTTTCTGTATAGTCAAGCTATATTTCATTATTTAAATGTTGAATAATGACATGGAAACTGTCTCTGGCGATTCTCAGTCATCCGTCTTCAAAGAAAAACAAGAAAATCCAGTTGTCTCCTGACAAAAGCACCTTTGGGATAACCATGACCTTGGATGACTGAGAGTCTCCATAGACTTTTAGCTATGCATTTTGGGATGAACACTCTTGTGCAGGAATATGAATGGATTTCCAGAAAAATTGCAAACCACAGGAACCATTTGCACTTCAGTTTGAGATGCAGACAACACAGGTTCATCCCCAACAACCTGTGCCTGTCTTCAACAGTGAAGGGACACAGGGCAGCAAACATCCTGCAGCCAAGAAGGCTCCACTCACATTTGCACTACTCAAATTATCCTGAGGACACAGATAAACCTCAAAGTGGCCTCAACTACTCTAAAAGAACAAAAACCAACAGCCTTTTGCAAGGGATATAAATCCTTCCATTCCCCACCATCCAGTCAGAGTGGAAGAAGCTTCTTGAATGAGAAGCAAAATGTCTTCAAAGCAAAACAAGAACGTCCAGTTGCCTCCTGGAAAATCACCTTTGGGACAACATGGAAAAATAAAGCAAAATATAATTTTGGTCATCTCTGTGTGTCTGCTATATTTAAATCTGAAAGAAAGATTGAAGAATGGATGGGAAAAAATGTGTGGGGTACAGACAGAAAATGTCCAGAGTTCTATAAAAATTCTAATCATGAGATGCCTCAGTTGAACTGTGATATACAGGGATCTCAAAATTATGCACATTAAAACTGAAAATCCCTGCCAAAGCAAATTTGGGTTGAATTAGTGTCATGGTAGAAAAGAACACAGAGATTAGAGGGAAAAATCCCATTCATAATATATGTAGAGTAACAATTGTTTTAAAAATTAAATGCAGTTAAAAATAGCAGATATTTTTATGTTGTGTGAAAGTGGCATGGAAGCAAGAATGGTATTACAAAAGAGTGTTGTTCTAACTGTCCTATCAGTTTACTTTGTTAATTTATTATTAATTATTTTGACTCTACCTGGACAATGAAAAGGAGTTTGAAAAGGAAAAGGATGATTAGAATAATGCTTCCCTTTCAGTTAGATATAATCAATTTTAGGACAAAATGGAGTTTTTCCCACTGTACCGATTAACTTTTTAATATGGCTCTATGGTTTGGCAATTGCAAGAGTTTATTTTAAATGTCTATGTATAATATGTTTGCTGCTGCTACTAAAAGTTTTGTGAAGCAGGTTGGTGATGGAGATCGATTAGTTCCTGTCCGTAGCCTCAGTGAAGCTGATAAATATCAACCTCTCAGTCTTGTTATCAAAAAGAAAAACTGCTTTCTTTCTAAAAGATCAAAATTTACATCAACACCATTCAGCCTTAAGGACATTCTTCAAGGAGAGAAAGAAATTTCTTCAGGTAAGTCCTATAAAGTCCTTCAAAATGTATAATATATTATAATATAATAGAATATAATAGAATTCTTTATTGGCCAAGTATGATTGAACACACAAGGAATTTGTCTTTTGTGCATATGCTCTCAGAGTACATAAGAGAATAAAATACATTCATCAAGAATAAAAAGATACAACACTTAGTGATAATCAAGCTTACTAATAAGCTGTCAAATCATACTAGCAAACAATAAAAACAATATAAACTGAAAGATACAAGCAACATGGTTATAGTCATAAGTGGGAAGAGATAGATGCTAGGAAGGAAGAAAAGAAGAATAGTAATACAGTCTTAGTAAATTATTTGACAATGTGATCTAAATCGGTACATAATTTGCTCAACAACAATAACAAAATAGAAAGTAAAGCAGTCTTGCGGGAAAGGCAAAGCTGTTATTAAGGGGGAGAAAAAGAATTCAAATATCTTGATATTAAGATTATTAAAAGGGGTGTTTTTTTTGCTAGTGCATTCATTACAGGATTGGAAAGCTGAGGAATACATTTTAAGAATTTGCTTTATGTTATTAAAGCATTTATTCATTTTGTGTGACCTGTTCTCTGTAATGGGATAAATATATAATACCTGATTGCAATGCGAACTCTAGTATGTTTGTTTAGACATATTGCCTAACTGAATTCGATAGGATTTACTTTGTAACAGATATCCTTAATACTGCGCCATTAATATTTAATTATACACGTTCGTACATTTTATTATAACTCCAATGAAATGTGACATTTCTTTTCTTACATAACTTAATTTGGCTGTATTATAGTGCTATTTCCATGTCGCACCATTTCTTCCTTTTATGTTACTGTAGCTGCCTAAGCTTTTCAAAGTTTTAAATTGGTTTTAAAATAAGTGATAGGGAAATGCTTTTAGTGTGCCAGAAATGCATTTTTCATATCTTTGTAAAGAAGGAAGCTAATAGAAGAGAGCACACTTCACGGTCTCCTACAGCGACATCCTGCTGATAACATTTATTATAGAAGCGGAAGGTATTCGGAGCACAGCTAATGTGAAGCAAGCAGAGAGTCCTAGGATGCAGAGTGTTAAAGGGCCACATCTTCTCAAAGGCTCAATATGGCTACTTCAAGGCTCACCCATAGCTGTCATAACAGAAATGTTAGCAATGCATGTATTTGCATGATCAGACATCAGGCCTGTGACCTTTCAGGCAATGGATTTGGAAAAGGGTTCACAAGATATCTGTCTAGGTAGTTTAGCCCAAGCCCAATATACAGACAAAACCTAAGGTTGACCTCAGATCAGACATACTCACAACAATCTTGTAGAGTGTTTAGTAATCCACAGGGCACATCCGAAATTAGTTATGCCACTGTAGTTAAAGCTAAAAGGAAGTATATCTTGGCCGAGTCTGGATGGAATCCAAAATCTTTTATCTCTCTACTCATTTTGTGATTTGTGTACAAACATTTTAACTTGTCATATCACGAAATATTTGATTCTATAGAGAAGGAATGTTGTTGCTTGCAATTTGGGCTGATAACAGTGAAAAACCTTTGTGTCGTAAGAAATGACATAATATTTTGCACACCGTTGCTAATTATATACTCTGAAAAGAAAACGAATGAGATAAATATATTGGAATCTTCAGTGTGTGTGTGTGTGTGTGTGTGTGTGTGTGTGTGTAAGTAATCTTTTTGAGAAAAAAAATCAAGAAAACCCTCTCTAGGATAATATAATCTGGAGTTTATCTGAAGATTCCAAGATTGGTTTTATTTGTTCACCAAGTCTATCATATCTTAATATAGATAAATATTATGTTTTAAAGACAACAATACACCATCTTTCTCCTTAGGTATTTCATCATACCAATTACTAAATTATGAAGACAAATCTGATGTAGCCCTTAGCGGCAAGCAAGGAAATCACATCATGAACTCTTCTGGGGTCAGTACTGCTGGGTCTGATTCCCTTGCAGTGAAGGCTTCTTTCGGTATTGTAACTAAGCATGAAGTTGAGGTACCAACATTGCTCAGAGAATTAACTAATAGGTTGGTATGATATTTTTTTTTTAATACCTTGATGGTTTTGCTTATTTTGTGCCCACACTCCACTAGGGCTGGGTTTCAAAACTTTCAGCAACAAGTTCTCTGCCTGGTTACTTGGCAGGCATGGCCATGGTGGGTGTGGCCTAGTTGGCTTCCTGCACCATGGCGGGAGGGGGGCATTTTTGCCTTCCCCAGGCTCTGGAGGCTTTCCTCGAGCCTCTGGGAAGTAAAAAACTGCCTCCCCTGGGTTCTGGCGGCCCTCCGGAGGCTGGAAATGGGCTTGTTTCTGGCCTTCTGGAACTTCTAGGAGGCCTGTTTTTCCCCTCCCCAAGTCTCCGTATGGGCCCTGCATTTACCTTGCCTCTAAAACGGGCTGTGTGGAGACTCCTGGGAGGGTGGGATGGGCGGGGCCAGCCAGGAGTGGGATTTGGAGATTCTCCAAACCAGCCATAACATTAGCTACAGGTTCTTCCGAACCCGTGCAAACCCATAGCAGCTCACCCCTGCACTCTACGCATGAGTTTTGAGAACTATGAATATTACCCAAATCCAATAAGTGAGACTTGAGACATCATAAAACGAACAATGCAATGCAACTCTGAGAATTATTTCTCTGTTATTTTAGAAAAGTGGATTTTGAACACTGCCTTGTTCGTCAGTCACGAGAGAGTAGTAGAACGGTTCTCTGCGTGGTAATGGAAAGTATTAGAACCACTCGACAGTGTTCTCTCTCTGTCCATGCTGGTATGAGAGGTGACACAATGAGAGTAAGTGAGCATGCATATCAAAATCAATTGCGTATATTGAATACTTTGCCTCTGGCTTTAAATAGGCGTCCACAAGGAGAATCAAAAATAATCAAGATGATGATCCCAATCATGTGATTTAAGTCCCACCCCTTTTTTACATATGTGGCGCAGGTTGCAGGCAGGTGAAAATAGTCAGAGCTTTGATCACATGGTTGGGCCCAGCATCTTCACTTTTTTTGACATCTACCCAAAGGCATCCCTGCTTCAAGTATGCATCATTCCGTATTGATTTATTACAAAGACATCTTCCACACATGTTAATAATCATTTAAATAAGATTTACAGGAAAAAACTCCAGCCAAATAAACCCTTAATTTAATGGCTCTTGTAGAAGAAAGAAGGAATGCTGAAATGTTGCCTTTTACCCAAAAGTGTATAGTTGATCTCTAGTCAATCTATATTAGGGGTGGGGAATTATGGCCCTTTTGTGGCCTTCGTAGAATTTCTGAGTCAGCCATGATGGCTCAGGAATTCCAGGAGTTGAAGTTTACAAGTCATAAAGGGGTCATAGTTCCCCATCTATGATCTATATAGACAAAAAAAATATGTCTTGCTTGCCTGTTAATCCATTTAGGTCAAAGATCTGCAGTCTCTGAAATCCATGAAAATTTATCCAGTTAAATGAATCATTGAAATTCATTTATATGCTTTGAAGAAGGGAGATTTTGATGCATGTATGGGATTTCCTTGCCTTCACGAACAGTCTTTGTCACTTCTCTTTCTGACCTATTCCGTAAGCAAGTGCTTCTTTGAGTTGTGCCCATGATTGTTCCAGAAATTTGCAATTGAAATTGAGCCCAGGGATGACTAGGGTTCAATCTGAGTATAAACAGCAGATTAGATTTACCTGATTTGTGCTTCAGACATTTTAATCATGCTCTATTCATTAGCTTATTTGTCATTTGTTCTTGGATAATTAGAAATTTAGGTAATAATAAGGATGATTCTATTTCCCTTGAAAAAAAAAGTTTTACTGAAAATATACTTTGCTTTCTAGAACTTACATTGCAGTATATTATTCAGATGCTATTATTTTGAGAGAAATATTAATGCAGCATGTATTTTTCTTTTCCAATTAGTTTCATATTATCGATGAACATAATTACAAAGGGTGTGACAAAGCAATTGTCTTTCCTGCACATACAACAATTGCATATAGCATATTTGAGCTTTACATTCGCCTGACTGGTAATTTTGGTAAGTAATATTTGGTCTGCACTCTTGACCGCTAGTATGATCTAGATTATTCTTTTTCAGAGACTAAAGTTGAATATTCTGTTTTATGCCCATTCTTCATCTCACAATGTAAATATAAGACACACACTGATCTTTTTTTGCATGGTCCCTTAGCTGCAATATAGACACACAGAAGCATTTTTCAATAATTTCAATCAGAGGCAAACTAAGTTTCTTATTTTTATGAAATAAGGAATGGACTTTTATATAAAAAGGATGCATAGGTGAGGGAAAGTAAACCTTTCGATTCCTTCTGTTCATCTTATCATTGCTTGTTCCTCTTCCTTTGTATTTTTTCCCCAGTTTAACTGGAATTTGGCATAGCAAGAAAGCTGTTTGAGAAATAGCAATAGAGAATAAATTGCAAAACAGGAGAGCTAGTAACATTGTTTCATTCTTTTAAAAAATGCCAGTTTCATTTTATTAGAAGCATGATAGACTGTAACAATGTCTAGTAATAAATAAGTGCTACTGTCCTGAACAGTTTTGAGTCCAGGTTCAGTAACCCATTCATGTAATATTCAGATGAAAACTCCATGTTTGCTATTTACCTGTTGCAGCCCAGTCCAATAGTTACCTAACAGTTACTTAACTAATGCGGTATTAAGTAGTGCTCTGATATATCAGACTGAGGATTGCACTACTAACAGAATCTGTAGTCTGGCTGAAAAACATCACACGTCTCCAGTTACTACCATCTATCAGCAATGAGGGATTGGATTCGTTGTTCCTTCTGCATATTCTGCTCCCTTCCCAAGCTACTATAAAAAGCAGATAAGCGCAGTGTGGGTGGGATGAACAAGGGAGATTACATTGCAGCCACTACTTAGTTAATGCTGGCAGGTAGCAATAGGAAATCATGTTATCAAGCAGGAATGTTCAAATCTCTACATTGTTTTTTTTTTACTCTTGCATCTGGTTTCCTCTGGGATTCTTTATCTATTGTTTTTAGCATAGTATTAGAAAGCTAAAAAGATACATTTTTATTTTCCTTGTAGGCTACTCAGACAAATTCAAGTACTGAGTAGTCTAAAAGGAAAAAAAATACGTGGCGTCACACACAGAAAAACAATTTCCTGTACATTGGGAAGGGGGAGAAATCTGCACGCTAGAGTCAATTGTACTGTCTCCATTTCTCTCTTTTAATATCTAAAATAATAATTAAAAAAATGATTGCCATTGTTTTATCATCAGTATACATGTTTTTCATTCCAGCAGCTTTGTCTGGAACCTAGGGAGAGAACTGTTGCATTGCTTAGAACATTATTTGTTCACAGTGGTAACTTGAACATGTGTAGACATGTGGGTTTCTCAGCCAGTATGCTGGTTGAGGAATTCTGGGAATTAAAGTCCATACAAGCTGCCAAAATTGAGAAATACTGGTTTAAAATGAAAAGATCAAACAGGATGAAAAGAAAGGATGGTATACAATATCTGTACTGTATTCAAAAGAATGTAGATTTTTATTCATTATCATGTAAGTTTAAACCCCTTGGTTTAGTAAAGAAATTTGCTTCCAAGTTCAAATGTCCATTGCTGAATAACCCTTCTTCTAGATATTGTATCATTTCCTAATAATTCAATACTTTTACCTTAGTGTAATATCATGGTTATAAAACAAATGAAATGTCTTCATTCTCATTAATTTTTGCTGCATTTGAGTAACACTATTTCAAATACTTTTTTTCTACCAGAACTTTGTGTTACTCCAGAATCAAAAGGAGGATTTGAAAAAGAACCATCAAGATCATTTTCACTAACTAAATTAAGGAAAAACCTGTTTCATCGAAGTATGATAATTATATGATAAGTATAATATTTATTTACATTTCTTTGATTAATTTAAAGATGTTATTATCACCCTTAAATAACAGTGAGAATAGTTTTTTTTTAAAAATCAGAACAATAACAGGAAGACTGTTATGGGACCAATTAAAATAATTGGATTTCAAAAAAAGCATATATTTTAATTAACATAATTGATTTTACTTCATGTTAAATCCTATATTAGGGAGACACCTTTCAATGTTCAGCAACAAAATGTTAAAGCTAGGTATATTATGGTATTTAAAGTCTAATGTACTGTAATCCAGATATTCCCAAATCCCAGCAATCAGTTCTCTGATCTAGATTAAAAGGATATAATCATTGAAGAAATTTTACTTATACTCAATCCTTGACCTAATGAGGAAGGATAAAATGTATAAAATCGCTAGTTAAAATATCGGGCAGAGTGCAGTTAACTGCTTTGAAGACATGGAGGTTCAATATGATACAACTCTTCTCTTCATATTTCTCATTCTGTAAAGGGGTGGCAAGTTTAATTTGTTACTGTATATCTATAGGAATTGTAGTTTATGTTAAATATTAATAGAACAGAATGAACCCTCCTTCACTCTCTGCTGATGCACAAATTCTAAGAATTCCTAGTAACTAAAATTAATGTTTAAGTGACACATATGTATATTTTTTGTTCCCATGTATGTGTTCATATGAGATAGAGAAAAAAGAAAGTAAAAATTACTGAGTACGTTTCAGTGAATGTCATAATGGTATCCTATTAAGCAGCTATAATTATTCTATTAATAGCAAACGTGGAATAATACTATGACAAATTACATGATTAATGCAGTTTCGAACTTGAAGTGTGTTTTTAACTATTTTACTGTGTAACCCATATAATGTGCCACTTGAATTTAGTAATCTTTTTTCTTTGTGTATGTCTACTTTCTTACAGATAAAAGGGTGATGGATATCATTGTCCACTCAGATAATTATTTAGATGACCTTTTTGCAGATTATTATGAAAAAACAGGAAGCATAACTGACATTTCAACAAACTATTTCCGAGAAGGAGCCCATGTACGAGTGAATTTGCTTAATAACCACATTCCTAAAGGTCGTTGTTCTTTATGTGGTATGGGGAGTTCCAAAAGGGAAACAGTTTATGGTTGCCTTGAATGTTCTTTTAATGGACAAAAGTTTGTACGACTTCATGCTGTGCCTTGTTTTGATATCTGGCACAAAAGAATGAAGTAGATTTCTGATAAATGTTTAAGGGCTGGCTCCAAAGTTAATTGTACTTTGTTCCCTGTAAAACCAATGGAACTAACTGTCACAGCTATCTTTTCATCTTGATTTCAGTGGAATTTAAATGCAACTAAGTTATTCTGGGTCCAATTCTGTATCTGAACTAGGTTTGATTGTGCCATCAAGCTCTGTGAATTTTGACTGCAAACATGTAAAAGACAGAACCACCAACCTATTATTTGCATCTATGTTTTAAAAAGAGTTTTCTAGTTATAAAAATAAATATCAGTTGGAATAATTTAATAAAACTGCTTTCCAAAATTTGTTTTCTTGGATTTCCTTTGATCTACATAATGAAGATATGTACACTTTTGAGTTAAAATTTTAGATTTTTGTAAAATCTAAAAATGTCACAGCAGATGCTTAGACTTGGAAATATTTGACATTGAGGAATGTTAGCCCCAAATATTTACATCCTAGAAATTCTTGCATACTTCATGAGTCTTCTCTTTAATTGAGGAAGCATACCAATTATACCCCGTTTTCAGATTTTATTTTTGCTGCAGTTTATAGGACCATAATCGAAACCAATTTTGATCTCAGTACAAAAGTATAAAAATTACCACAGTGAATGTACATAAACTGGTAGGTAACACAAAAAATACTTTTCCCTGTGGATATATTGCAGTGAAACTAATGGAGTTGCTTCATTATACCTTTGTGCAGGATGTGTATTTGATTCACCAAATCCAAGCCACACCTTTAAATTCCTTTGAATACATCTACCAAGACTTGTTTTAGGAAGAGTGAGTACAGCCAAGTCATCCAGTTGTGATGGCTGCGGAACTCCATGGCCCATGAAAACTGCAAGATCACCAAAGTCCATAAAGCAACAAGTAGACATTTGAATAATACATTTTTATAGTTCATCATGCTGGTAGACATTGTATTCTTTGGCAGATATGAAGCCATCTCCATCATGGTCATTCTTTTTAAATATATCTACCAAAATATCATTTTGAACAGAAGAATCCCGTTTTTCGCCATCTCTTTCAAATTCTTTCTTCAAATAATGATTTATCTAAAGGAATTAAAAACAATAATTTCAACTGGCTCTTATATTTACAATTACTTTTGTATTTTTATTCAATTGTAAGCCACCCAGAGTTGCTTTAAATAGCAAGATAGTCAGCATATAAGTAAGCCTCTTGTATATGAGCCCCTATACGCTGACAATCAACTACTGAAAATCAAAATACTACATAAAAGTCAAGTATTATAACATTCTAAAATATATGAAGTTTCCCTCTATGGTCACAAAACAGACTGTAACTTACAAAACAAAATTTTTACTTGCTGACTTCACACTTGCACCTTTAATCCTCTAGAAAATATTTTTAGGAAACACAAGCAGGGCTAGAGCAAGAGATTGATTCTGGTAGCATCTATTCTTCCAGAGGGATTCATTTTGCTGGCAGCCATCATTAGTACAAACCACCAGCAATTTACAATCAAGGAGGGTGATTTTTCCAAACTGCTTGTTTTGCATGAGGGATAAATCCAAGAAATGTCACTGTTAAAGAGGAAGCGAAACAGAATCTTCTACTAGGAAAGCAAAGAGAGTCTCAGGTAAATTAACTCATCTGAGAGAGGGATTCAATGGTCTGATTACATTTTCTGGCAAAGTTGAACAAGATGGGGACAGAAAGAGAATTGCTTGTGTTCTACCATAAATGCAACTAGGTAGGTAGCCCTTGAATTATTACTGGAATTGGGACTGGATAAGTCATTATGGTCATTAAGTTGAGACGTTCATGCAACCGGATCTGATTTTACAACAGTTTGCAGAGGTCATTAAGTGAATCATCAGTCATTAAGTGAATCCATTGTCATCAAGAAAATGCCTCAGTTGTAAGTGCGAACCCATTCTTCTGAATGGGTATATTTGACCGAAATCTGCAAAAAGTGTGGCAATCAGGAGATTGTGGGACTATGTAACAAGTTGTAAAAGTTAGCTGATATTTGTTCAAGTGACTGCAAGAGAGAGGATGGCATGTTTTACTATATTTAGTAATGCTTTATGGATGATAAAGCATCTATTCTGGCCATTGTTAATTTTGGATGGTCATTAGGTGACCAGTCATAAATCAGAGATTTACCTGTATACTCATTGTTCCTATGCTCACTATCTGCCCACATTGTCTTTCTGCTAGGAGTATTATAGGTCTCATCTGAAAGGGACACTGTTGGGGAGCACAATTCAAGAAACAAACAGCTTACTTCTCTGTTCCCCCAAGAATGGCTAATGTCAGAGAGTATTGGAGATGAACTCAAGTCTCAGACAGGCGGTTTAAGACAGAGATGGACAATATATGACCCTTGATAAATTGTTGAACTCTGATTTGATCAACTCTAGTCATCATGATCAATAATGAAGGTTAGGAACTGGTATCCAGAGTAACAACTTGTCCATCCAGCCTTAAAGCAACACTAAATTCAAGCAACCTTGGAGGATTGATAAGAATTAGCATTTTCTACTCTATTTATTAGAACAGACATCAAAAGTGAATAAACTAATTGAACTAGTGATCATCCAGGCATCCCTTTCTAAGAAAACAACGGGGGGGGGGGGGAAATTAAATTAGAAAAAAGTAATTACAAAAAGAGAACGGTTCATACATTCATTCCACAATACTTCATAAATTGATTCTGTTAAACAAATGAAATGCTTTAATGAAGTGACTTAGAACATTATTCTTCATACCTCTTCCTTTGAAAGCTTTTTGTCACTATCCAGGTCTATTTGAGAAAATGTTTCAACACTCCGTGGCCCTTTACTTACTGCATACAGTTCAATTTCGAAGATCAGTGTTGCATTGGGTGGGATCTTTGCTGGTTCTAAGAATGTAACAAGAAAGTTATAGGAAATGCACATCCTGATCTCTGATCATTTTAACCAAAGCTACCATATGTCTACAGCTTTTTAGCAATATGGTATGAGAAGTGCTTTGTGGAACCATTTAGTTGGAGTCAATCCTCCATCATAAAAGACAATGTAAATGAACAGGGCCCACTGTACTCTTTATCCTGAAGCCTTTTGCTGTGCCAATGGAAGTTAATAAATGGCAGGATTAGATACTTGGTGGTGGCTCTCACTGCTTTGACCATGACATGAGGTCTGCGTCTGCGCCAAATAGCACTGGCAGATCAGAAACTAACTTCATCTTTCTGTTGTTATTAATATCTGGGCTTTTAGGAATATGGGAGAGAAGCTTCCGCAAGAAAACATTAACATTTCAAGAAACACAAAAGGACCTCAGAAAAGGAAGATGGACATCAAAACGGGATATGTAATATTTAGCAGGTTCTCAGAAATAACACTGAAGATAGGTGCTATTATTGGAGGAGTGAGTTTCCAGAATTAGTCTGGAAAAGTGATTCACAAGCCATGCACATGCAATTAGTCAGTAGAGGAAGGAGCTAGTCCTCTTCTTTGTAGGGGGAACTCATTTAAAGCGACTAAATTCAAAATGGCTTCCTTTTCTAGAGCTAGGATACACTTTTGTTGAAGCAGGCGTTGCTTATGCAACTGAGTAAGAGTTGGGTCACAGGGATTAGAGTTGACATTCCTTAATCCGAGAATTTATTGTGGAGCCTCTATATGTTGCTCTGAAAACTAAAAATTAAAATATGTTTCTTCATCACAAACAATTTTGAAGTAAAGTGTCATATGAAGAATTCACCGTGAATAAACAGGCAGAGACTAACACAATTCCCTATATGTATAAATGTAGATTGGCAAAAATGTCATGTGTATTTAGAAACAGCCACATCTTGTGACAATCTCACTAAAGACTGAATGCATAGATGCCTAAATTGTGAGTGCCATTTGGGTCTGTCACAGCTATACTGCTACCCATTGAGCACTGTACAAATCTGAACCTTACCCTTAATACATCAGGTTGGCCATTTATGAAAAAAGAACACCAACATTTAATAAAGCAACAAGTACTTGAGGTACTTGAATTGAACCTTTAGAGGGTTATGCATATGTGCTCTCCTATATACCAGTTGACGGTAGGGAGGATAATTTCACAAAACTGGGGGATTTCAAAGATCATTATCTTGTCGTTTTTTAAACCACATGCAGCAGCCATATAAACTACTTATATTTCCCCTTCTTTCCAATTGAAGATTTAGTAGCAAAGCCTAATAAAAGAATTCAGTCACTAGCAAGTCCAAGAGCAATACATACCACAAGAATACCCTGGAAAGAAGGAAAAAGCCACATGCATTCTTGACATTCTTAACTAGGTCATCTGCCCAACATGCACAAGGATGCTCGGATAGAGAACAAGCAGGTTGTAGGATGGGGAAAAATAGTTTCTTCATTTGCTGCGTGAAAAAAGAATCAGCATTAGTCTCCAACAGTGCTCATGTGATCTTATATAATATCTCTTGATGGATCACGATGAAGTGAAATGGCTATGGAAATCAAGTTATTACTGCCTTTAAGAGAGTCTGAATTTCAGGGGCCTCCCCCCTCTAGTTTCATTAAATTTAGAAGAAAATAAGTCCTAAGGACAAATATCTTCCTTTCTTTCTCCCCTTGCTGTATTTTAGGCTGCCAGGTCCTTTGGCTCATTCTGTGTAAATATATTGCATTCTGGGGCTTGTACATTTTACATCTTGCAACCAATAACAATATTACTAAATAATATATATAACAACATTATATATGTATGTATGTGTATATATACACACACACACACGGACACACAAACACATATGTATATATGTGTATATATATATATGTATATATGTGTGTGTGTGTATATATATGTATGTATGTATGTATGTATGTATGTATGTATGTATGTATGTATGTATGTATGTA